AGAGTGTCCCACAAGAGTGTCCTACAAGAGCGACATACAAGAGTGTCTGACAAGAGTTTCCCACAAGAGTGTCCACAAGAGTGTCCGACGCCAGTGTCCTACAAGAGAGTCCTACAAGGGTGTCCCACAAGAGTGTAGGGGGTCTTACAAGAGTGTCTCGCAAGAGTGTCCTAGAAGAGTGTCCCACTCTTGTGTCGCACAAGAGTGTCCGACAAGAGTGTCCCACAAGACTGCCCGACAAGAGTGACATACAAGAGTGTCGAACAAGAGTGTCCCATAACACTGTCCCACAAGAGTTTCCTACAAGAGTGTTCGTCCCCCAAGAGTGTTCCGCAAGAGTGTCCCGCAAGAGGGAGTGTCATACAAGAGTGTCTGAGTGTCCCACAAGAGTGACATACAAGAGTGTCACACAAGAGCGTCCGACAAGGTGCCTGACAAGAGTGCGAGAGTGTTCCACAAGAGTGTCCTAGAAGAGTGTCCCACAAGAGCGTCCTACAAGAGTGTCCCACAAGAGTGTCCTACAAGACTGTTCCGCAAGAGTGTCCCACAAGAGTGTCCCGCAAGAGATGTCCACAAGAGTGGCCGACAAGAGTGCCCTACAAGAGTGTCCCACAAGAGTGTCCTACAAGGGTGTCTCACAAGAGTGTCATACAAGAGTGTCCCGCAAGAGTGCACCACAAGCGTGTTTTACAAGAGTGTTTCTCAGAAGTGGCAACTTGTAGCACATATGTAATGTTCAGGACCAGGGCGGGCCACTTGGTCGTACAAATATAGCACGGGAATCCCTTGCGCCCCAGAACTGGCAATTTTAGCTGTGGCCTCAGAACTGGCCACTTGGTAGTGCAAATGTAATGCACAAAGCAGCTTCTGGGAGCTGTGGCCACTTGGTAGTACAAATGTAGTGCGGCCTGCAGGTCCTGCGAGCTGTAGAACCGGCAGCTTTGTAGTGCAAATGTAGTACGGGAAGCAGCTTCTGGGAGCTGTGCCCTCAGAACCGTCAACTTATGTGGCCAAATTACATCTGAGTACGTGAGCGTCGTGCGTGAGTGTCCCACAAGAGTGTCCCACAGAGTGACGAAGGTGCTGCGCGAGAGTGTCCCACAAGAGTGTTCTACAAGAGTGTCTCCTGAAAGAGTGTCAAAAATGTTTGGGCGTTGGTTTTGGAGTACGTGTTTGCATTCGGGTTCGTGGGTTCCATATTGTTCTTCCAGCTCCTCGGGTTCCTCTTCTTCTTCAATGACCACGTCATCTGTATTGTCGGTGATGTCGAAGTCCTCGCCGTCATCGGGGCCCGGGGTGAAGTCTGCGTTGGTCAAGCCAGTGATGGTGAACTGCTGGAGGAAATTGTAGTCCATGTTCGCGATGTAGTCATAGCCAACGTAGCCGTAGCCACGGTCTCCCCACGATTCACCCCAGCTGTTGCGGACGATGAAGACCTGCTGACGGTCATTGTAGCCCACAAGCAGCATTGCATGCAAGCCATGCTGGGCGGCTCTTTTGTCGGTCTTGTTGGGTGTTGAGACGAAGCCGCCTCGTCCAGGGCGAAAGAAGCTGTCCGTGAGCATGAGCCCAAAGATGATCGGGTTCCCTCGGGCCAGACACTGACGCATCGCATCAAGGTCCATGGGCACTCTTTCCGCCGCCAGGACTCTGTACCTCTGGGCCTCTTTGAAGCACTCCTCACCCGGTTTTTCATTCACCTTGTCGAGATCATATGGCCATGATTCCGCCAAACAAGCACCACTCACCTGCATAGCGCTGATGGCAGCTTGGATCGTCATCCCTTCGTCTTTGGGCGCCCTCTTGGAATTCTTCTTTCCCCACATCGCGCCCTCGTCGGCCATGTCCTTCTTCCGGCCAACATAGTAAATGAAGAGCCGGGAGACATCCCCACGGGTATCCCCAGTTTCCCCAGCATGCTTGCAGTTGATGTACTCGAAGGCCCCTGCCACAGCATTCGCGCAGCAACTGTTGGTTTGAGATTGATCTTCTATTGGGCTCATAAAATTGCGAAGGTCCACCTTTTCTGGCAAACCATCCTCTGGCTGGTAGGGAGTAAAATCCTTCGTCTTGGCAGGATCTGGAGGTTGAAAGTCATCCCTCAAACCAAAGGGCGCAAAGGTCTTGCCCCCGCACTTGACCCTGCGCCGGCAGTTCTTTGGAGGACGGGGCACCAAGTCCAAAGCCGCCTGCAACAGAGATGTTTCGTCACAAGTACTCTGGCAGGTAAATACTGCAGGTGTCACATGCTTCTTCGAAAATCATAGGGGTTTCAGAGATCCAAAAACACTCAAAAACACCTGATCATCCAGAAAATCCCGTTCACTGACAGGCACCTTCACTTTGTCCCGGTCTTCGGGCGGCAGATTCGTGACCACCCCTTGGAGCTCTGTGACGCTGGCGTCCTTCACTTTGGAGGCCAAAGAGGAGCTGCCAGACCCCATTGGAGCGAAGAAGACTGGCTTTGTAGTCGCGCCGCAGCTGCTCGCTTTTGCTGAGTTTGAGGGAACTCTGCAACTCTTAGAGATTTCTAGACAAGAGGAGGGCAAAAGCGAAGCGGATTTGTCCGGATCGGAACCCGTTCTACCAAGTACTTACACTGCTAGAGTCCCTAAGAGAAGGAACATTTGCAGACCAAAAACAATGATGTCAGAAAACAGCGAGGCCCCTTATCAATCGGGACCCCTGGAGGTCCTGCCATCTCACTGGTTGTCGGTCTCGGTTTGCTAGAAAGCACCGTTTTGATTGCTTTTTCCAAGCAAGCAGACCGAGCGAGACCCAGCGTTCGACCGAGATGAAAGAAAAGTGCCAGTGCCAACGCAAAAAGACAAGTCACGCGACTCTCTGGGATCACTGAAAAGCTCAAGGACGGACAGCCTGCTTTTTTTTGCAAATCTATTCCAGCCCACGAACGAACCATGAAAACACCATCGAAACTTTGAGAACCTCTTCGCAAACTCCAGTGAACCCCTTTCAGCCGGGGTCTGCCGAGGGTGCTCAAAATGACCCGACACTTTGCTCTTCTGTTGCAATTCGACAAAAAGCATGAAGATGCAACTCAAGAAAATCAGCAACTCCATCAACTGCAATCATTCCGGCAAGGCCGCAAGGCTCTGTCTCGAGGACGCCCCCATGTTTTCTGCCTTCGCACAGTCCGAGCACTTGGCAAGTTCCTCAACTGGTCCATCTCAAATTAGCTTTGCCAGTCTGAGCTCTCATCCTCTATCCACGTATCCACGGCGCAACACGCCATCCCAGGGCAGCCATTGATTCCAGTCGCGGGTGAAGAAGCCGCATTGCTGGCAGGAATTGTTGATTCGGCTGCGGCCGGACGCTTCGTTGTGATGGCTTTGAAGGTCGAAGCAATTCTCATTGATCACAGGTCCACAACGACAGCGCGGACCTAGGGCGCGGTGTCAGGAGGGTGTCAGGATGTCAGGGTGTGAGTTTTGGGTGTCAGGGAAGCCTGTGTTATTTCAGCCCAAAACCGTCAAGAATGTCTCCAAATCCTAGGTCTTCAATGTTTGTTGGTAGCAGGAGAAACTGTTCGGTCAAACCATTCTCTTGCGCCCTGTCTCCAAAACCTCTGTTCTTGGGGCAGGGAATGGCAATACCAAAAGACAACAGTAAACAATAAACATGTTTGAGACAACTTCCCCCCTCAACCAAAACCTTTGGTTTTTGAGCCTGGTACGTTTTGTCTGAAAAAATGATGTCCTTGTTTGGCGACTAGGAGGACGGGGGCCGTGGTTGACCCCTGTTGTCCAAAAACCACCTGTTTTTCTAGTTTTTCTATCCTGATGCAGATTGGAGGAACCATTCTTCGCAGGGAAGAGAAGAGCCAAAAGAAAAAGAACCAGAAAGTGATAGAAACTGCCTGATGCCTTGCCATCCAAGAGGACACATCTTGGCATTGGGGTACTGACGCCTCAAGAATTCAGTTGAAGCCGCTTCCTCCCGTTTCGTCGCCTGCTCGCCCTCCAATTGCCGCTGCATCCGTGAGACCTGACCAAGGCGAGAAGCGGCCGATCAGGCCACTTGCAGGAGCCAAAGACCCTGTCCTTAACATGGAAACTGCTAAGAAGAGGATGAAAAATGGTCTGTCAAATTCCATGATAGAGTTTGGGAGGGTACAAATAGCAATTGAGGCCATGGGTTGCTCACCTGCCATCCTATCTCAACTTCTGAACAAGGTCAGTCTCGTTTTGGCTCGTCGCCTCTTCTTGAAACCTCTGGTTGTGTTGGTGCCAAATCCTGTTTTCGGTGACATCATCCTGTGCTGCTCTGTATCCAACGAAGATCTCGTCGGGCAGAGCTCTGGCCAGGGACTGGTCGGTGTAGTGTCTGCTGCACCTCAATCAATGTAGGGCTGCAAATGGATCACCTCGCACTACTGCAAGCGTTAGAAAAGGTTCTAGAACCAAATAACTAAATAGTCGACTGGGAGGAAAATCTCTTGTCCACCAGATGGTTGATGTTTGTTCGATGAGGCACTGTGGTTGGAAGGCTGGGTTGTGTCGCACGCACGGAATCAAGCCGCCCCGGCTGCTGTGATCGTCCAACATTGTGTCGCTGGCGCCGATCCGCTCCAGAAAATTACGAACCATGTCTGGGCTACAATCTGAGCAAATCAAATGCCTGGGTTCGATGATGGGGACCATGCATAAACCCGGAGCAAGAAAAAAGAAAGCCCAAAGTGACCCAAGCCCTGAAAACGATCCCCATCAGGAAACACGACAAGGACAAAAGGGTTTGGGGATCTAGCCAGATCCATGGCTTTCTTGGTTTTACTTCGCCTCAACATCCACAAGACAAAATACTCAATAAATGATCCAAATCAAAGCTTGTGTTGGCTTGCACCGCATATGTTTAAAGTTTAAATATATTATATATATATATATATTATACAGAAGAACCAAAACCATCCACTCAGCAATCCCAAGCTGCTCGTTTGGACACATTAAACTGCCAACTTGCTCTACAGAGACTTCATCAAAGCAAAGTTCACATCTCTTCGTCAGCGCCGCCGCCAGCTCTGCGGCTTTCTCCTCTGCCAGCCTCAAGCGCCGCAGCTCGGCCGCCATCCGTTCGACCTCCAAGACGGCCGAACGGTCCGAACTCCTTCGGGCGCCCGCGCCGTTGCGCGTTGCGCGTGGCGCTCCCGCGCGGAACGGTCGACGCCGCCCCGGCCTCGGACTTCAGCGCCGGAACTTCCGAAGTGGAGAGCGTGGAGGCCGCCTCGCGCGCTTGCCGGAGCAAAGGCATGACCTGAGAGGAATGAAATGGTACGAAGACAACTGGACGGATCGATGTACAAAAGGAAAGGGTTAACATGAAGCTCCAGATTTGGAGGACGTGAGCCTCAAACGATCCATCATTTTCAGACCAAACACTGAGGAAATACCCGGCAGCTGTGTTTTTGTCCTGGCCTGGATCCTCTTGGAGAAGCGCTGTACACTAGCAGCTGCCATGGCTGAGAGCTTCTTCAAGGTCTCCAAATCAGGCCCATTAGCCGGCACGCGAGGATCAGGGCGCCGGGCAATTTCCTCAGCATCTGCTTCCTTCCAAGACAGGGGTGTAACCACCTGCCCTTGCAATGGAATCGACGTTTTTTTGTCTCTCTGCTTGGCTGATATTTCTCATTACCTGCGCGAACTCGTTCCACATTTTAATGACAAACGGCTAAAACAGAACTTTCATGCTCAGGGGGGCCATGTCGAACCCCCGCCCGTCGTTATGAAGTGTTTGATCTGCGTCCGATTTCGTCCCAATCAGAACGTTTCTCACAAAAGAACGGACTCCCAGGACCAGACTCGCTCGGATCCCATTTTGGGGCACGTTGTGTTCGAGAAAAAGGTCGACTCCTTCAGGCGAAGGTCGTTTTCTGCGTTGATACCCAATGTGCCTTATGTGGTTTAGAGTCTGGAGACTCGAATGACCATGGCGCGAGAAAGACGACAATCTTGTGACAACGATGAACATCTTCCACGCATCGCATAAAACGCTGCCCACCCCCACCCCCATTCAATCGTGAACAGGACTTTTCGATGACAACGTTGTGGCGATGACAATGTTGTGAATACAATGACAATGTTGCGGGTCTGAAACACTGCTGGCCACAGTTCAGTAGAAGAAAGTGTGCGCGTTCCCATGCGCGTTCCAACACACGACCGGAACCAGAAGCAAATTGGGTTCGAATCTTGTGGGGTCCCTTAAGCCCTTGAACACGCCCAGGCATTGGCAGCCCTCCGAAGCTCCTCAATGAGGTCCGAAAAAATCATCGTCGAAATCCAGCTGGGCAGCGATGATTTGCAGGATTGTGATACCGATCGAATAGACCTCGGACTTGTCGTTGAATTTGCCCGTCTCCACATACCTGCCAGCGATGACGGGTCCGGGTCAGGCACCGATCGAATGGCGCTAGTTGCCCCAGTAAACTCCATGGGAATCTGTGGGATGTTCACTCAGAACCGCCTCTGAAAACATGTGTAATATGTATATGCTTGAAAAGTTCGAGAGTTCTGTTCTGTCAGTGGGAGCCTTTTCACCCATCTCTGGCCTTTTACACATGAAGCCTGGCGTCCCTGCAGGGCCAGCTCCTTGAGTGAGTTGCATCGTCATCCTGCTTTGCCCTGGTCGATCTCGAGGCAAAAAGCGTGACAAACCACAGTCCCCCAACTTTGGGGATAAGGAGGCAGTCAACATGATGTTTCCAGGCTTGATGTCACGATGATAGCACGGCCCTTCTGGATTGTGATGATGCAAATAGCTGACAGCTGCCAGCAAACCAGAGACAATGCTACCTCAGTGTTCGAAACTCACACTAGTCCAATCTTTCAGAACCCACATCAATCTAAAACATTCTCAAAAACCCGAATCAAGCAAACAATCCTTTTGAAATTTCACCCAAAAATTGCCCAGAAGTCTTCCGTGTGCCCAAAGGCTCACCAGTGGGTGGGCACCCGTCGTGACTCACACCGCTTTCGACCACGTTTTGACCGCTCCAAGCGACTCCTCCGGCCCCAGGTGAGCTGGCGGGCTTTCTCATCCTACGGGGTGCAACAAGAGAGATGAAAAGAGATGAAAAGAGTTTGGCACTTTGGAGGCCATCGCTACTAGGGTGGAGGCCATCGCTGCTAGGGTAGAGGCCATCGCTACAAGAAGTTCCCGGGCAAGCCGGCGGCGGAAGTTTCCTATAAGAAGAAATTGACCTATAGGAGTGTCCACGTTCTCTCCAACATGCGCGTCCTCCAGTCAAACGCACGCGCTCCGGACTTTTGACCCACGGGATTCCACGTGTGTAAGGTGTGTGTGCCCCCTGCGAGAGATGACACACATCCGGCCACCACGACTTGCCAAGGATGCGGTCCACATCGGACTGAATGGAATCCGAATTTGAATGTAAAATCTGTCTTGAACTCTGAGACTATGTATGATGAGTCTTGTATGATGAGGGGTGTATGACAAGTGATGAATGATGAGTGGTGTATGTTGAGTGGTGTATGATGAGTGGTGTATGACGAGTGGTGTATGATGAGTGGTGTATGCTGACTGGTGTATGATGAGTGGTGTCTTGACCAGCAGTTGAATGTCCTGTCCTGCATAACTGCAACCAAATACTATCAGTATGAACTGAACGTGCACGCCGCGAGAGATGACTCAGCAGCGAGAGATGACTCAGTCGCGAGAGATGACTCAGCCGCGAGAGATGGCTATAGCGAGAGCTGACTCAGCAGCGAGAGATGAATGAGCAGCGAGAGATGACTCCTCCGCGTACTACACTGTTCGCCAGTACAACTCTAGTTGTACTACGAAGTCGCCAGTCCTCAGCTTCTAGCTGCACAGATTGCTCCGCGTGCTGAAGTTGTACTACAAAGTCGCCAGTTCTCATCGCCCAGCTTGCCAGATACTCGCGTGCTAAAGTTGTACTACAATGTCGCCAGTTCTCAGCTTCCAGCTCTACAGATTGCTCCACGTACTAA